CTTGACATTTGTGCCCTGGCCCGGCCGTGCCGGACACACCCTCTAATAAGACCTCTCACAGAGTGGTTTCAATACCATTTCTCCAAGACGCAGAAGGATTTGAGGGATGAATTAAAGGAGCAGAAATCCTGACCTCTGGGGAATTCTATGCCAGGCTCCCACAATTCCCAGTGCAAGGGACCATGCACATTTATTGGTTGATGAATGGAGCACCCTGTCTGGGAGAGGTTAAGGACAGGGTCTAGGGTACCCGGGATGATGATGATCTGGGTGCCAGTCAGAGTTACCCAGTGTTCCTTCTCACTGGGGACCTCACGTGGCCCCAGATATGTATATAACATTGATGAGACTCAGCCTCTGCTCAGCTGGCCTAGGAAACCCCAAGTCTGGCCTGGGTCTCTCCTCCTGGCTCCCAGATACCAGGTGGTATCTGTCTGAGTTACCCTACCCAAGTTTGCTTCCAGGACAGGGCCAGGCAGAGAGGAACCACCTCCTCTGGGCTGCCCCAGCACTGGGCACATCATGCCTCTGTTATGCCTCTGGTTTTTGTTTGTGTGTGGGTGGGTTGTTTTTGAGACCGAGTCTCTCTCTGTCACCCAGGTTGGAGTGCAATGACGCAATCTCAGCTTACTGCAACCTCCACCTCCCAGATTCAAGTGATCCTCGTGTCTTAGCCTTCCAAGTAGCTGGGATTACAAGCACATGCCACCATGCCTGGCTAATTTTTATATTTTAGTAGAGATAGGGTTTCACCATGTTGGCCAAGCTGGTCTCGAACTTCTGACCTCAGGTGATCCGCCCATCTCGACATCCCAAAGTGCTGGATTACAGGCATGAGCCACCGCACCTGGCCATGCCTCTGTTATACCAGGAATCACGCTGACTTCTTCCCAGCCTGGGAGTTCCTGAGTCCTGCTGGTGTCCTCGTGGCCAGTCCAGGACCCCGTATAGGGAAAAAAGCAGGGCTGGGCACAGGCCCTGGAGTCACACAGACCTGAGTCTGCACCTAGGTCTGCTTTTCCTTGCTATGTGATCCTTGGCTCTCCCAGCCTCCCTTTCTTCATCTGCAAAATGATGGTAACAAACCTTCCTCACAGGGTGATTGTGAGAGCCGAGTGAAGCAATTTACTCAATAACTGTGAACTCCCTTCCCTGCTGTCCTCAGAAAATGTTTGTTGAATAAGTGAATAAAGAAGCAACTGAATTGGCCATGCACCAAGCCAGCTACACACTGTCTCCTAGAAGCAATCGAGGTTAGCCAGAGAGAAAGCATAGGAACCGAAACCAGGGGATGTGGGCTCTGGCCTCAGCTGTGCCACTCACCCACATAACTTGAGTGAGCCACATTCCAGCTCTGAGCCTTGGGTTTTTATCTGCAAAATGCGGTGTCTGTGCCTTGCTTATCTCAAAGCATTGTTGTAAAAAAAAAAAGGAAGTGAGATTATTGGTGGTGACAGTTTTTGGTAAACAGTAAAGCACTTGATACATTGAAATGGACTTTATGAACTGTAAAAGGTAATGTAGGCTGGGTGCAGTGGCTCACGCCTGTAATCCCAGCACTTTGGGAAGCCAAAGTAGGAGATGGCTTGAGGCCAGAAGTTCAAGACCAGCCTGGGAAACATAGCAAGATCCCATTTCCACACACACACAAAAAAAATTGTTTTTTAAATTAGCCAGGCATGGTGGCATGCGCCTGTAGTCCTGGCTACTTGGGCAGCTAAAGCAGGAGGATGGCTTGAGACCAGGAGTTCAAGGCTGCAGTGAGTCATGATCATGCCACTGCTCTTCAGCCTGGGTGACAGAGCAAGACTGTGTCTCTTAAAAAACAAAAAGGGGGGTGGGGAGGGCATGGGCCGGGCATGGGCCAGGCATGGTAGCTCACACCTGTAGTCCCAGCACTTTGGGAGGCCGAGGCAGGCAGATTGCTTGAGCACATGAGTTCAAGACCAGCCTGGGCATCATGTCAAACCCTACCTTTACAAAGAAAAAAAAACACAAAACTTAGCCAGGCAAGATGTTGTGCACCTATGGTACCAGCTACTTGAGAGACTGAGGTGGGAGGATTGCTTGAGCCCAGGAGATCGAGGCTGCAGTGAGCTGTGATCATGCTGCTGCACTCCAGCCTTCATGACAGAGCAAGATCTTGTCTCAAAAGGAAAAAAAAACGGGGCAGGGTGGGCGGCGCAGGGTATGCACAAATTTGATTTTGACATGCTTCTCCTGTTAGCCAGTCGGGCTCAATGCCAAACCCAGGCCCTGATGATCCCCCTCCTGCAGAACCAAGGGAGTGGGGAGGGGCGGCTGAGTGGTGATCCTCCCCTGCATATTCTGTCTCTTTCTCTCACACACAAACACACAAACAAATACACACACAGAATCTGGCTGTGATTCCCCTCGGCTGAAGACACACAGAGGCATATCAGCCTCTCAGCTGGCTTTGCAGGCCATCTGCTCCTGAGAGGGGAGCTGTCTGGCTGGAGCAGGCCACATGCAGCCTGGCTATGCTCCTGGCCCATTATTCCAGATACACGCAGACATAGCGAGACACCCCACATAACCACAGACACACATGCACACACAAAGACACACCAGAGGCTTCTCCCCACTCTCATCATGCCGTCAAGGAACCCAAGAGGGGCTGGTCAGAGAGGGGTCCCAGCATTTGCCCTTCGGGAGCTGGCTCCACTCCTGACCCAGACACACACCTCTAGGCCCGTCAAGGGGTGCTACCAGGCTCCTGCTCCACTGTTGCCCTCGGAGGCCCAAGCCTCTACCCACCTAGGGGATCAGAACAGGAAAGTGGGGGATGCCACCAAGAAAGAGAATGCCGTCCTCTTCAACAAGGCCTCCTTTATAGGCCTGGGGTGGGAAGGGGCTCCCTGTAAAAGGACAACAAGATCCCAACCTCTCCTCATACCCGCTTCCCACCACCAATCAGAGAAAACTCAGTCCTGTAGGCGCATTTTGTCACTGATAACATAAACTGTGAATTCCTTACTCCTTCAATGACCAGATGGGGAAACTGAGGCCCAGAGATGAAAAGGGATTTTCCCAAGGTGAACACAGTGTCGGGAGCAGAGCTGGGACCAGATACTGGACCTCTGGTTCACCGTCCATTCCCTTCCAACTGCAAAAACCGCTTCGTCATTCATCTGTCCTGTGCATACTCTAAGCATATGCTATGTTGCAAACCCTGTGCTAAGGATAAAGGATACAACAGTGAACAAAACAGGTTCCTCATCCGTAAGGCGTTTACAGCAGGCATCACAGAGTCAGCATTAGAGGGAATGCATTGGTCCCCTTTGTGCAGCATTTTCCAATTGACAAAGCACTTCCCCACCCCACCTCTTACTTCATCCTCCCCTCAAACTCACAGGTCAGTATTTTGTTTTTTTTTGAGACAGAGTCTCGCTCTGTCACCCAGGCTGGAGTGCAGTGGCACCATCTCAGCTCACTGCAAGCTCCACCTCCCAGGTTCAAGCAATTCTCCTGCCTCAGCCTCCCGAGTAGCTGGGATTACAGGCACCTGTCACCACACCCAGCTAATTTTTGTATTTTTAGTAGGGATGGGGTTTCACCATGTTGGCCAGGATGGTCTCCATCTCTTGACCTTGTGATCTGCCCGCCTCGGCCTCCTAAAGTGCTGGGATTACAGGCGTGAGCCACCACGCCCGGCCCACAGAGGTCAGTATTTTAACCTGCAATCTGCAAAGGAGGAAAGTGCAACTTCTGAATGACTCAAGGCCCCAGCTTGTCAGCAGGAGCTGAGATCGAAACCCCGGATGCCCACTTCAGGCCCAGGACCCAGTCATCTAAGGGGCTGACCTCTTTCTCTGGCTGGTTTGTCAGGACCTAAAGATAGTGGTGTCTCTTTTGCTTCCCTATTATTCCCCAACACACCTCCCACCCCTACCGCCTCCCCCAACACACACACACACCACCCCAAACACCTGAACACAGCTGGGTATTCAGTCAGAGCTAAAGGAGAGCAGCTGGTGTGGGGAGAGAGCCTGCCGTTCTGTCATATTTCACAAGTAAGTGAGTACACAGCCCCACATCGGGACCTCCTGCCAGCGGAGGACGGCAGGTGCCAGCCTGGGCCCTGTCCCCAGCACCTGGGACCTGATAGGGGCCATTGGTTGTGGGCTTGGCCCTGTGTATAAGAACCTGGTTATTTTCAGCACCCCCTTCCCCACCCCACAAACCTAGCATTTAGTGAGTTCCTAAGTACCCCGCCCTGTACCAGATCCTTTATATGTCCCGACAGTTCTGTGGGGGAGATGGCATTATCCTTATTTGACAATTTAGAAAACTGTACAGAGATGGAGCATAACTTGGCCAAGACCACACAGCTAGTCAAGTAGATGTTATTTGGCTCCCTGAGATCCAAGCTGCCCCCATCACCACCATCGCCACCTCCCAGTGGGGTCTCTGGGTCAGCACTGTCCCAGCCTCGGAAAAGCCAAACTTGGGTGTTGGGTTCTCCAGGAATGTCTGGACACTAGAAGTTATTTCTAAACATGAGTCTCTGGGCCTGAGAAAGGTGCCAGAACAATCCCTTAAAAACAGAAGCAGCCAAGCACAGTGACTCACGCCTGCAATCCCAGCACTTTGGGAGGCCAAGGCAGGCTGATTGCTTGAGCCCAGGAGTTGGAGACCAGTCTGGACAACAAGGTAAGACCTTGTCTCCACAAAAAATACAAAAATTAGCCAGGCATGGTAGAGCACGCCTGTAGTCCCAGATACTTGAGAGGCTGAAGTGGGAGGATCACCTGAGCCTGGCAGGTCCAGGCTGCAGCGAGCCGTGATCACGCCACTGCACTTTTGCCTGGGCAACAGAGTGAGAGACCCTGTGAAAAGAAAAGAAAAGAGAAAAGAAAAGAAAAATAGAAGTGCCCATCTGCTTAGGCGCAGCCTGGGGGCATGACCTTGGTTTGCCTCTTAAGGATATTTTTCTATGCCTCCCCCTTGCCCAGCAGGGCCCAAGAGTCCCCCCTTACCTGTAGCAGGGGCAGCGGCTTCAGCTGCGGGAACTGTGTGTCTCTGTCTGGGTCCTGGCCCCAGCCTCAGCCTCTGTGCTGTCTGGCAATTGCAGAAGTGAGGAAACGGCGTATCACTACCAAGTCACCCCTGGGAGGAAACGCTATGGCCCTAGGGCCTCTCAAGGGGTGCCACAGGAACTTCCAAGCTGGGCCGCCAGGACCTGGGCACTGCACAGAGGCTTCTCATAAAGAGCGAGGGACGCCGACTGTAGGCAGCGCCCAAGGCCAGGGAGCTGAGGTGAGAAAGAGGAAAAGCAAGAGAGAGAAAGCAAGTGCATGCACTCAAGAGAGCGAGAAAGGGAGCATGAGAGTGAGGAAGAGGAGGGAGGAGAGATGAGTGATCAGGAAAATCAAAGGAGAAAGGGAGGAGGGGGGAGGGAGTCAGGGAAAAAAAATGAGAGGGCGGAGGAATGGATGGAGGGAGCGAGGCTCAGGGAAAAAGACAGATGTAAACGCCTGGAGAGATGAGAGGAACAAGGAGACTCAGGGACAAAGACAAGGGAAGATCCAAGACAAAAGACGAGATGAGGAGACACAGGCGGCGAGCATGTGCCAGTGCGCATTTGGGTCTGTGTGTCTCTGGATGGGGGTGAGAGAGAAAATAAAAGAAAGGGAGTGGAGGAAAGAGAATGCCCGCTGGGATATGAAGTGGAGGGAGAAGAGAGGCGCTCAGAAGAGTCACTGTGGCCAGCGGCATGACTGGGCAGGGCATCCCTGGAGACCAAGAAGCATTGAGCCCAGAAACCCCATGGGAACAGAGCTGTGGGGGTGGACGTGGAAGCTCCCTGAGACCTTGAGCCTGGGTTGGGCAGCATGTGAGTTCGTGGGAGCGTGTGGGTGAAGAGGGGTGGGCAATCGAGGGTGAACACACATGAATGTGTGAGTGTGGGTGTCGGGGTATGTGTGAAAGTGAGCCGGTGGGGGCATCCCGTGTGCATAAGTGAGAGGTGAGCCAGAGTCTCTGCCTCGGTTTCCAGTCCATTTACCCACTCATTCCTTCAACCAACCAACAAGCACCATGTGAGCACCCCCAGGCACCAGGCACTGGGATGGACCCTGTCTAAAGAAGCAAGTCCCTCAGATACATCAGCCGACCCAACAACCTCCTACACAGAGAGGGAAACTGAGGTCCCGACAGGACCAGGCTCCCACAGCAAGGCAGGTGTAAGCAGAGTCGGGGCCTGCATCAGCATCCAGCCTCAGCTCCACTCTGGGTATCTGGGCCAGGCTCCTCCGCCTAATGTCCCTTATCAAAGCCAAAAATGGCTCTCAAAGGACAAAATACTTTTTTTTTTTTTGAGACAGAGTCTCACTCTGTCCCCCAAACTGGAGTGCAGTGACTCAATCTCAGCTCACTGCAACCTCTGCCTCCCAGTTTCAAGCGATTCTTCTGCCTCAGCCTCTGAAGTAGCTGGGATTACAGGCATGTACTGCCATGCCCGGCTAATTTTTGTCTTTTTAGTAGAGATGGGGTTTCACCATGTTAGCCATGCTGGTTTTGAACTCCTGACTTCAAGTGATCCACCCGCCTCGGCCTCCCAAGGTGCTGGGATTACAGGCATGAGCCACCGCGCCTGGCCAGGACAAACCACTTGTAATATTTGCCTCAGTCATGTAGAACTAGAGCCAAGCATCTGCCCCCTCCTCCATCTCCAGCCCCACATCACACACAGGCAGACACACTCAGACCACATAACACTTGCACACTGGTATACACTCAGTGCCTACTCTCATGCAGAGATGTCCACTCTCACTGTGTTCCTCCAAATACCTGCACACTCACGCCCAGTCTCCCCTCACTCACGCCTGCCAGGCTCACCTCCTTCCTCAAGTTCATGCGTCCATACTGCTCCATGCTCCCCCACCACACACACTCTCCCAATCCCCAAAATGCAGCCCAGGCCTCCTGCCAGGCACATGGAAACAGGCTTAGGCCAAGTACTTTGGGAGACCAAGGCAGGAGGATTGCTTGAGCCCAGGAGTTCGAGACCAGCCTGGGCAATATAGTGAGACCCCATCTATATATTTATATATATATATGTGCCCCATCCGGGGCACAGAGGTGGGTGAAGAAGGGTGGAGTGTACTCTGGTCATGCACCACCATTCCCAGAGTGGGTCTGGAGGAGAAAACACAAAATATCCAGGACAGACAAAAAAAAGAAAAGAAACAGGCTCAGTTTGATCATTTCTTCTTGTCTCCCTTAGAGGCCTTTTGAGCCTTGAGTGCCCTGAAATACGAGGACATGGTCCATACACGAACTCAGCCTTCATGCAAACTGCTCACCTGAAAGGCAAGGCCTCAACTCTGCTCCCCAGCCCAGATCCTTGGTTCCAAAACAGTTTCACCTCAGCCCTCCTCCAGCCACCACCCTCCAGGAGGGACAGCAAGCCTGGGAGGGACCTCCGGGATCAACCAGCCTCCATTGCCCAGAGTCTCCAGGACACCTGGCTCAAGGTCCGGGACTGTTGGCTCGGCCTGCCTTCCAGTATAGTCCCTTCCACGTGCATACGTGGGAGCTGCAGATCAGCACCTCTTTTGAGATTATCAATAAGCAGGGTAGGTAGGCAGGTATTACTATCAATATTTTACAAATGAGGAAACTGAGTCCAAAGCTTTCTCTCACACCCCACATCCATCCTGTTAGCAAACTATGATGGCTCCACTTGAAAATATGTCCAAATTTGGTCGGGCACAGTGACTCATGCCTGTAATTCCTGCACTTTGGGAGGCCGAGGCGGACGGATCAGTTGAGGTCAGGAATTCGAGACCAGCCTGGCCAACATGGTGAAACCCCGTTTCTACTGAAAAAAATAAAAATAAAAAAACACCAGCAGCCAGGCATGGTGGCACACACCTGCTGATTACCGCTGGTAATCCCAGCAACTTGGGAGGTTGCGGCATGAGAATTGCTTGAACCCAGGAGGCGGAGGTTACAGTGAGCTGAGATGGTGCCATTGTACTCCAGCCTGGGTGGGAAAAAAAAAAAAAAAAAAAAAAACAAGCAAATATGTCCAAATTTGAATCTAATCAAGCCTTTAGGTCTAACCTCAGTTTTCAGAAAATACAGGGGACAGAGGAATAAATTAAAGGACCTCACAAGGAAGAAATCAGCCAATTCCAGAATATAGAACATTCTACTGGACAACGAAGCCAGTTCTCTCCCGAAATCAACCGTATGAACACAGAAACAAACACAGGGCCAGGCTCAGTGGCTCATGCTTGTAATCCCAACACTTTGGGAAGCTGAGGCGGACGGATCCCTTGAGCCCAGGAGTTTGAGACCAACCTGGGCAAAACAGGGAGACCCTGTTTGTTTTGTCTCTATAACACAAAACAAAACAAAAAAAAAGTTAAAAATAAAATGAAATAAAAGCACACAAGAAACAGGGAGGAGATTCTTCCAGATTAAAAGAGATTTCAGAGGCCGAACATGGTGGCTCATGCCTGTAATCCCAGCACTTTGGGAGGCCGAGGCAGACAGATCACTTGAGGTCAGGAGTTCGAGACCAGCCTGGCCAAATGGTGAAACCCTGTTTCTACTAAAAATACAAAAATCAGCTGGGCGTGGTGGCACACGCCTGTAATCCCAGCTTCCTGGGAGGCTGAGGCAGGAGAATTGCTTGAACCTGGGAGGCAGAGGTTGCAGTGAGCTGAGATCAAGCCACTGCTCTCCAGCCTGGGTGACAGAGCGAGATTCTGTCTCAAAAAAAAAAAAAAAAAAAAAAAAGAAGTTGCAGCTGATCCTGCAACTGGCAGGGAGGGAACCAGGAAATAAATACTCAAACCTTTCTCTTCTCCCATCCTCTGACGTCTTATCATCTTATCGGCACCACCAGTTGGCTGAGCCCAACCAGAAACAAAGGAACCATTACTGTGGTCTATACAGGGCAGCCTCCGGGGCACAGAGGTGGGTGAAGAAGGGTGGAGTGTACTCTGGCCATGCACCACCATTCCCAGAGTGGGTCTGGAGGAGAAAACAGAAAATATCCAGGACAGACATATCTGAGAAAATCACAGAAACTGGTATATAGATAATTCTAAGGGATTCTTGATAATAGTATTAGGAGATAATGGTGTTACAGTTATATAACAAAATGTCCATATATGTGGAATTTGCTTTAAAATATTACAGCAAAATAAGAAGAAAGGAAGGAGAAAGAGAGAAAGTAAGAAAAACAAAGAGAAGAAATAAAGAAGGATGGATACAGAGTATGAAGAAAAAAGAAAGGAAGAGGAATGAAGGGAGAGAGGGGAGAAATAGAGAATGTGGCAAAATATTTATTTGATTGATTGATTGATTTTTATTTATTTATTTATTTTGAGATGGAGTCTCGCTCTGTCTCCCAGGTTGGAGTGCAGTGGCGCGATCTCAGTCTCACGATGTTGTCCAGGCTGATCTCAAACTCCTGACCTCAAGCAGTCCGCCCGCCTCAGCCTTCCAAAGTGCTGGGATTACAGGCATGAGCCACCGCGCCCGGTCGTGTGTTATTTTAAACCACTAAGTTTGTGGTAACTTCTTATAGCAGCCATAGGAAACTACCACAAGGATTTCTTGTACTCTTTCTTCTCTTTTTGTGTATGTTTGAAAACTTTTCTGATGAAGTTGTGTTTGAGCGTGCACAATTCACAACACCACCTATAAAACAGTCTTGCCAAGGAAACCAAAATAGAATCAGCAAGTTTAACCACTGGTTTACTCCTGTTACAGAAGGAAACAAAATCACAGGGATGCACTCAACTAACGCACATGATAAGAAACATACAGAACACACGACCTGCTTTCTTCAATAAATAAATTCTAAACAAGAAAAAAATATATAGGGAGAAACTATTGATTAAGAGAGAATTAAGAGGTCGAGCGTAGGAGCTCACGCCTGTAATCCCAGCACCTTGAGAGGCCGAGGTGAGAGGATCACTTGACACGGGAGTTTGAGACCAGCCTGGGCAACACAGTAAGAACTCACCTCAAAGTAAATTAATTACTTAAATAAAGAGAAGTAAGAGACATAGCAACCAATTGCTACATGAATCTTCTTGGATCCTGATTCAAACAAGAGGGGAAAAAAAGAAAGAAATTGGGCCAGGCGCGGTGGCTCATGCCTGTAATCCCAGCACTTTGGGAGGCCGAGGCATGCAGATCACTGGAGGTCAGGAGTTTGAGACCAGCCTGGCCAACATGGTGAAACCTCGTCTCTACTAAACAAACTAAAATTAGCTTAGTGTAGTGGCACATGCTTGTAATTCCAGCTACTCAGGAGGGTGATGCAGGAGAATCGCTTGAACCCAGGAGGCAGAGATTTCAGTGAGCCAAGATTGCACCACTGCACTCAGTCTGGGTGACAGAGTGAGACCCAGACAAAAAAATAAAGAAAGAGAGAGAGAAGGAAGGAAGGAAGGAAGGAAGGAAGGAAGGAAGGAAGGAAGGAAGGAAGGAAGGAAGGAAGGAAGGGAAATTGAGGATTGCCAGGCATGGTGGCTTATACCTATAATCCCAGTGCTTTGGGAGGTCCAGGTGGTCCTCACTGGAGGACAGGAGTTTGAGACCAGCCTGGACAACATAGCCAGACTCCATCTGTACAAAAACTTTTAAAAATTCACTGCAGTGAGCCATGATCATGCCACTGTACTCCAGCCTATGTGGCAGAGTGAGATCCTGTCTCTTAAAAAAAAAAAAAAAAGTGTGCTGGTAATTGTTGAAGCTGGCTAAAGGTACGTGAGGATCCATTATATCTTTAAACG